AGGGGTTTCCATCCTCATGTCAAATAAAGTAGACTTCAAGCCAAAAGTTGATCAAAAAGTATAAAGAAGGACATTTCATACTGCTCAAGGGAACCATATACCAACAAGACATAACAATTATAAATATATATGCCCCAAACAATGGAGCATATATGTTTATCAAACAAATTCTTTTCAAGTTCAAGAGTCAAATTGACCACAACACAATAATCTTGGGTGACTTTAACACACCTCTCTCACCACTGGATAGATCTCCCAAACAAAAGTGGAGTAAAGAAACAATAGGTCTCAATAATACAAATAATAACTTTGACTTAACTGACATATATAGAATATTTCATCCTTCATCAAGCGAATACACTTTCTTCTTAGCAGCACATGGATCCTTCTCTAAAATAGACCATATATTATGCCACAAAGCAACTCTTAGCAAATACAAAAAAGTAGAGATACTACCCTGCATTTAATCAGATTATAATGGAATGAAATTAGAAATCAATGGCAAAATAAAAAATAAAAATTACTGTAACACCTGGAGACTAAACAATATGCTACTGAATGAACAATGGGTTGCAAAAGACATCAAGGGAAGATTACAAAATTCTTGGAAGTAAATGAGACCATAGACACAACATACTGAAATCTCTGGGACACTATGAAAACAGATCTAAGAGGAAAGTGCTTTGAATGGAGTTTATTCCTTAAAAGAATAATAAGTCAACAAATAACTGACCTAAGAGTAAATCTCAAAGTCCTAGTAAAAGAAGAACAAATAAACACCAAAAGCAGTAGAAGGCAGGAAATAGTTAATATTAGAGATGAAATCAATGAAATTGAAACAAAATAAACAATTTAAAAAATTGACAAAACAAAAAGTTGTCTCTTCAAAGAAAAAATAAAATTGACAGACCCTTAGCTATGCTAATGAATAGAAGGAGAGAGAAAACTCAAATTACTAACATCCATGATGAAAAAGACAATATCACAACAGACACTACAGGAATACAGAAGATAATTTGAAATTATTTTGAAAACTTGTACTCCAATAAAATAGAAGATATTTAAGGCATCAACAAATTTCTTAAGTTATATGATTTGCACAAATTGAATCAGGATGATATATACAATTTAAACAGATCAATTTTGAGTGACAAAATAGAACATGCCATCAGAAGCCTACCAACCAAGAAAAGCCCCAGAGCAGGTGGATACACAGCCAAGTTCTACATGACCTTTAAAGAAGAACTAATACTAATACTCTTAAATTTATTTCAGAAAATAGAAAAAGAGAGAGCACTTCCAAACTCATTCTATGATGACAATATCAATCTGATTCCAAAACCAGGCAAAGACATATCAAAGAAAGAAAACTTTAGACCAATATCTCTAATGAACATAGATGCAAAAATTCTCAATAAAGTTCTGGCAAATAGAATGCAAAAACATATCAAAAAGATTGTGCACCACAATCAAGTGGGATTCATCACAGGGATGCAAGGTTGATTCAACATAATCAATAAATGTAATTCATCACATCAATAGACTTAAAGATATGAATTATAAGATCATCTCAATAGACGCAGAAGAAAACATTTGACAAAATACAGCACTACTTCATGTTCAAAACACTAGAAAAATTAACGATAACAGGGACATAGCTCAACATCATAAAGGCTATCTATATTAAGCTCTAAGCCAACATCATTCTAAATGGAGAAAAATTGAAGGCATTCCCTCTAAAAAATGGAATAAGACAGGGATGCTCTCTTTCACCACTTCTATTTAACATAGCTCTTGAAACACTGGCCAGAGCAATTAGACAGACAAAAGAAATTAAAGGGGTACACAAAGGAAAAGAAGCACTCAAATTAGCACTATTTTCTTACTATATGATTCTATACCTGGAAGACCCTAAAAGTGTAACCAAAAAACTTCTAGAAGTAGTAAATGAATTCAGCAATGTGGCAGGATATAAAGTCAACACCCACAAATTAAAGACATTTCTGTATATCAGTGACAAATCCTCTGAAAGGGAAATAAAGAATACTACCCAATTTACAATGGTCTCAAAAAAAAACACAAAACTTGGGAATCAACTTAACAAAAGAGGTGAAAGATCAATGCAATTGAAAACTGCAGAATGGCAAAGAAAGAAATCAAAGAAAACCTTAGAAGATGAAAAGATCTTCCTTGCTCTTGGATAGGCAGAATTAATATTATCAAAATGACCATACTACCAAATGCACTATACAGATTTAATGCAATTCTGATCAAAATCCCAATAAAATTCATAAAATTCATCTGGAAAAATAAGAGACCCAGAATAGCTAAAGCAATTTTTGACAGGAAGAGTGAAGCAGGTGGCATGGCTACACCAAACCTTAAACTATACTACAGAGCAATAGTAACAAAAACAGCAAGGTATTGGCACCAAAACAGGCCAATAGTACAGAATAGAGGGCACAGAGACTAACCCACAAAATTGCAGTTATGTTATATTAGACAAAGGAACCAAAACCATACAATGGAGAAAGGATAGCCTCTTCAACAAATGGTGCTGGGAAATCTGGAAATCCATATGCAACAAAATGAAATTAAACTCCTATCACCATGTAAAAGACTCAACTCAAGTGGATCAAGGACATAGGAATTAAACCAGAGACCCTGTGTCTAATAGAAGAAAAAGTAGGCCCTAATCTTCATCATGTCAGATTAGGCCCCAACTTTCTTAACAAGGCTACTATAGCACAAGAATTAAAATCAAGAATCAATAAATGGGATGGATTCAAACTAAAAAGTTTCTTCTCAGCAAAAGAAACGATCTGTGAGGTGACTAAAGAACCTACATCTTGGAAGCAAATTTTTACCTCCCACACATCAGATAGAGCACTAATCTCTAGGGTATAAAAAAGCTAAACACCAAACACTAATAACCCAATCAATAAATGGGCCAAGGACCTGAACAAACACTTCTCAGAAAAAATATTCAATCAATCAACAAATATATGAAAAAATGTTCATCTTCTCTAGCAATTGGAGAAATGCAAATCAAAACTACTCTATGATTTCATCTCATTCCTGTCATAATGGCAGCTATTTAAAGACAAACAACAATAAGTGTTGGTGACGATGTGGATATGGGGAAGTGGAAATCTGGGAATGGAACCACCATTGATCCAGCTATCCCTCTCCTTAGTCTATACCCAAAGATCTTAAAAACAGCATACTACAGGGACACAGCCACATCAATGTTTATAGCAGCACAATTTACAATAGCTAAACTGTGGAACTAACCTAGATGCCCTTCAGTAGAGGATAAAAAACAAATGTGGCATATATACACAATGGAATATTACTCAGCATAAAAGAGACTAAAATTGTGGCATTTTCAGGTAACTGGATGGCATTGGATAAGATAATGCTAAGTGAAATTAGTCAATCCCCAAGAAACTAATGCCAAATGTTTTCTCTGATAAAAGGAGTCTGATTCATAGCAAGGTAGGTAATAATCCAGTAATTATCACTTAATTTTAAAATCTCAACAGGAAATAAAGCTACATTAAAAAAATTTGCATTTTATATAAGAAAAAATTAACACTAAGAAAATAATTAATTTGTTACACCTCAGTTGAAATTATACATCTGTTAAACTAATAAGAGCAATATTATTTATAGGGGGAGACAATAATTAAAACAGGAGAAATAGAACAAAAGTGGGCTCAATCCAAGTGTGAATTCTGACCTGGAAGCACGCTGACCAAAGCCTATGGTGGCACCCCTTACCAAATGTTTGCTTAACATGGCTGTTTCCTGTCCACTGTGCTACAATCGCACTTTGTTTTTCCTGTTAGTTAGGTTTTGGACCATCTCTCAGATTCCCAAGAGACCAAATGCCACCACCATGAACAATATCCTGATCGCAGGAACTACAATTTACTAAGATCCCTTTATCCATTTATCCCCGTCATCAGATGTAAAAAAAAAAAAAAAAAATGTTTCTAATTATTTCCTCTTTTGTAAGATTTTTCTAAGTTCAGTATTTTCCAAAATGAAGTTATATTTTCAACTAAGTCATCCATGGAGTCATATTTTTATTTTAAACATTTATAATCAGCAATTAATAAAAACAAATACGATTCCCTCTTGCTTGTTTTCGACATTTTATTTGCCTTGTAGATCCACATTAGATATGAAAAGAAACAAACAAGCCGAGGATTTCCTGGAATGGAAAAAGAAGTGAGCTTTCTGTTTTACTGTACTGTATGCTGACAATAATGTTGGAACGCTCTTCATTTTCCAATTAATAAGAAGTTGAGCACATTCAGTATTCATTTTAGAAACATTAACATTCACTTCATAAAAAGACCTTTTTAAGAACTTTCCAGAATAACTGTAAAAGAGGCAGCTAATGGTGAACATAAGATGTGAAATCTCAGCCAATGTCATTATTTTTACTTAGCAGCTTTTGCTGTTTCTTTAAATATTTATGTGTCCCATGCATATCCCACCAGCTTTGACTAAAACAAATATGTTCTCTTTTAAAGCAAGATAAGTGGCTATGACTGATAGTGGCTCAGAATTCATGGTTTTCTTTGAAAAGGAAGTAGATATTATTTTAATCTCATTCTTATTTCATCAGCTAAAGCTTTTGAGTTGAAACTAGAAAGTATTTAAGTCCCTTAAACAAGGAGATATATACATATAAATGGGCAAACATAAGTCTGATCAGTCAAGAAGCCAGTAATTTACTTTGGATAGAAACAGGAGAAAAGAAGGGTTGTGAGGAAGACATTTTTTATGGTATACATCTTGTACTTTATGATTTTTTTTTTACTATATTCACACATTACCTATTTTTTATATCACAGATAATTTGAAAAGCACACAGAAATAAATATGACTGTTGTCTAAAACAAAACTTTCTTCTTCACACTTATTTTTCCTTCAAAAGAAAATGTTTGTATTTGAGAAAAATTCCATTTGGGAATATTTGAAGAAAATTGTTCTTAACTCTCAGTGATTTATTACCATGCCTGCTGTTGAGTTTGGTATGTTCAGGAATCTGTAAGTAGTTATGGGGCTGCCAGCTTGCTTCCTTGGTCGCTGCTGATCTGTGCCATGAGTAAGTCATAAAACATCAACGTGACTTATTTGCTCTTGTGAAAAATGGAGCCCATCATTCATACTGCTTCTTGCCTTTAGTGGGTATTGTAAATAACTTATCATGCACCTTTTGGAATGTTCATTGTTTTACCTGGAAAGAAGACAAGAATGCCATCATTATTATCAGAGTAAACCAATGAGCGTGCCATTGGTTAAAGCGTGCCAACCTAAAATGTGTTATAGCTATTAAGTTTAAATTGGTTACGATTCTCAGTATTAAAAAAAAATGGTACCCATGCTACTGATTCTAAATATTATGAGACCAAAGGAAACCCAATAGTGATAGTTACAGTCATTTCTGAAGATAAAATCATGAGTGAGACCAAGATAGCCATAGGAATGGCAGTCGCAATGGGGCAAAACCTCAAACTAGACCAGTGTGCTAACGTTTGCCAGTTTAACATTTTTCGAAAAGCTGTTTCATGAGTTCCTTCTGAGCTTCCTTTTTGTATTTCTGTTTATAATTATTTACATGGATATGAAGGTATTGTGTCCACGTGCCAAATATAATGCCAAATCTGTATGCCATCAGGTGTCCACAGGAAGGTGCAGTCTGCTCTTGCAAGTCCAGACAGTATCTCTCTGTTCAGGATGTTCCTAGAATATGAGCATTTGGAGTTTCTATTTGTTTAAACAAAATATAAAATCCTTCTAAGAATGCTATTAATGACTTAGAATTGGTTTGATCATCAAAGTAAATATTATTAGAAAATATTGAAACAGAATCACTTCATTCCTTGACTTGGAAGTTAAGACTTGAGAAATACGTTATTAATGAAATGAAAAATTCCATGGGTCATCAAACTCCTTTTAGCTTACATTTCATAGCAATATTAACATATAAAGGAAAGTATTCACTCTTAGGATAATATTTCAAAGAGTACTGTGTTTAGCATTGAAGACTTGGACAAAAATGAGGCTATTCCTGCCCTCAAGCAGTTCATGGCATTATCAGCCAGAAGGGAAACTAGAAAAACATAATAAATGGTATGAAAAAGAGAGTACATAGAAATAATATTCCATCAGGACTAGAGAGAAGTAAGGAGGAGAGGAAAAGTTTCTTAATAGGAGGTAAATATTGAGAAGTACATAAATTATCCAGGCAAAGAAAAAAAAATGAGTGAAATCTACATAGAGAAAGTAGCCTAGAATTGCACATTTGTTACAAAAGGAGACCTACAGCAAGGTTTTTCTCAGGAAACTATTAAAATGGATATTTGTCAATGGGAGAATAAAATATCATTGATTACTGCAAAAGTAGACTGGGATAGGCCATAAATTGCTAGGTATGGTTGAAAGTCTAGAGCCAGGCTGCTGTAGGCCTGATCCAGTCAATCGAACTGAATTAAGGAAGCACTTGTGTGGGAGTAGGTATAGGCTTGGATGTCCGAAGAGCATCTACCCAAACTTAATGATATAAAAGCAACCAGTATTGCACTTAAAAAGAAATGGCCACCCTCTTTTATGCTTTGTATATTTTCCTTCCATATACTTTGTTTTATGCTTGCTAGCTTTTCTACTGGTGTGCTTACTGACCACCCAACTTCAAGGTGTACCCATACACCATTATTCTTTTTATTAATACATCCTTTGCATTGCTCATTTACCAGCTTTGTGTGTGAAAAGTTAAGAATTTGATGCTCCTAGTGTTATGGTTGGGATCAGGGATGTTCTCCCAAAGCTTACTTTGAATTTGATTCCCAATGCATCAATGTTCAGAGGTAGGTTTTTCAGAAGTGATTCCTTGGTGAATTAATTCAATTTAAGGATTAATCATTTGAATTGTCTACTGGCAGGAAGAGGAAGCTCTAGTTAGGTGAACAATGGTTGATTCACTGGGGGCATGTTATTTAGGGTTATGTCTTGTCCTTAGTCTCTTTCTCTCTGTTTTCTGTCTGTGAAATGATGATCAGTTTTCCTACACCATACCCTTTCATCATGATGTTCTGCCTTGCCTCAGGCCCAAAGCAATGGAGTCAGCCAATCATGGATTGGACTGAAACCTACGAAACCATGAGCCAAAAGAATTTTTTCCTACTTTCAGTTGGTCATGTCAGGTATTTTAATCACAGCAATAAAAAGCTGACTAACAGACCTAATGTGCTGTTGCTCTTGTTTTATTTTGTCTTATAAAATAGCATTATTTGAAAGTCAGAAGTTAAGACATATACAGGTAGTAGGGTAATGATTAGGTCATTGGTTTAGCTTTCTTGGAAGTAACTTTGGGAATTGTACTTGTGTAAATCTAATGGATAAAAAATTTATATAATTTTGGGTTCAGTCGTGGTTAGTTGAAGAGGTGGGTGATGACATTACATAAACAATATTTGGTACCATATTAGACTGATCCAAGAGAATCAGAATCAAATGGAGTTTGAGGACAGAACTCTGAGAAAAAGGAAGGGTTATAATATGGGTAAAGAAACAGGTGCCTTTGTAGCTGAGAAGAGTAAGCAAAAGAAGAAGGAGAAACAGAAAGAAGTGGAGAAACTAGAAGAGAGTTATGTTCTGGAGATCAGTAGGATAAAAATCTCATGAAACAATTAAATAAAGAGATGTTTGGTGGATGAGCTTTATGATGATATGAATAAACTCTGCTAAATCTCTGCCAGATGCATTATAATTTTCATTAAATACATAGGTCAGGTAAAATAAGAAATCAGAACATTTTATGAGAGTAATAACAGCAATTTCATTTTGAGTGTGAAGGTGGGTATAGCGAGGTAGTAGAATGACACAGAGAAGCACAAAGATAGAAGAGGCTATGTCAAGTGACTTTAGTTTTTAATGCATAAATTTAAGCAATAGCCAAGAAAATGAAAAAGAGCTAAATTCAGTTAAAACTAGGTTGTTAAGGAGAAGGAACTAAATTGTACTGATTTAACAAATACTAGTACCTATTGTGAAAGACAATAAAATTAGTCTTCCAAAGATGTTGAGTAAAAAAGTAGACAACATTTTTCACTATTAATTTTATTTTTTTTAGTTTTGAGTAATCTGTAGGAATAAATTAATTTCAAATGGCCTTTTCAAACTCTTATTTCTAAAATAAGTATGCAAAGAAGAACAGTTTCTTACATCTTTAGTCATTTATATCCTAGTAAAAACTCTTTGTTGTAATTTGTTTACATAGTATGAATTTGGATACAAACACACACACACACATATATGTATATGTATGTAAAATATACTTTCTTAAAATACATTTGAACTTTTACTGTAGAATCACAATTTGTGGAAATTTCCACTGTAATAACTTAGTAGATAACTGAAGCATCATGAATATAAAACAAAATGTGTTGGGGAGTTGTCTTTGTTTTTTGTTTTGTTTTGTTTTGTTTTGTTTTTGAGAAGCTTTTGTGAAGTTAATTAAGTGGTCCACAAAAAAAATATTATTCATATTATTCAAATTATAATGTACCTGACAGATTTACTAAAGTTTATTCATTATATTACAAAGTTCATCCAACATAATCTCTTTATTGAAATCTTTTATGAAACTCTTTTGTATTGATTTCATAAAGAAGTGGGAATTAAATTATAAAGTACAAGTGCATCAGAAAGGGCAAACTATTTACTTTTCTGGATGCAGAAAAAGGGCAACATTTTAAAAGAAAGTGCAATCATAGATGTTACCTCCAAAGTCAGTTAGTCTGAAGCATTTATGGAAGAGTGGGTCAAAATACAGGTTGGATACCATTGGCATGTGGATGATGACTGTTTCTCAAAATGCAATGTGTGAGCCACCTGTTTCAGAATAACATGCAGTGATAGCAAAAAAAAAAAATGCAGATATCTTAAGTCTCCTTCCTAGTCTACTTAATTAAAATCTGTGCAAGAGAGGCCCTGAAATCTACATTTTAATTGAAATACTTTATGTAGTTCATAAGCCCACTGAATTTTGATAAATGCCTTTCTCATCTATGGCAGTAGATAGATCACCCAAGGAGAGAAGGTAGAATTTGTTCCTCCAGGGAAAGGACTCTCTTTTTCATTTATGTATATATGGCAGCAATATGTCTCCTGGAATTTATTTATATAATCAATAAATGATCATTATAATTATTGTTTAATCTTTGGGAAATAATGTACAGTATACAACAGGAATCATAAACATATTCATCATTTTGATCTGGTACTATCGCTTCTGGGAATTTATTTTAGGTAATAATTCAACAGGAAAATGAAAAGTCATCTGTGCAATGTTCACTATAGCATATTCATAATAGAAACAAGGAGAGAAGCAAAGGATGAGAAGAAGCAAAAGATGAGAAATGGTAGTACAAGTAATTAAAGAACATATTTTTCTGCTATATGACATAGTGATTATAAAGATTGCATATCAATGTGGATAAATATTAGAATGTTAGAAAAAATAAATATTTTTAGAGTTATAACTATAAAAACTGTTATTTACATGTACTAAAAGAATTATAAAAAGTGAAAATTTTAAAATTTGGTAAGTTGGCATATTATAGTGACTATATAATCATTTCAGTTAACTTGTTGGAATTATGCATGTAGAACAAATAATTCCTTTATAGAAACTAATATTGTCTCATTCAACCATTTCAAATAACTATGAAAGTCAAATATGGTTAAATAATTCTGATTTTACTCAGATAAAATATTTGAATCTGTCCTAAGTTTACAAAGAGAAAGAAGATGGCATCACTAGAAACTCCAGGGTCTCCAAAAATGTATATTTTGAGTGACTAGTATCAATAGCTATTATTCATGTTGCAAGGGCATGGGGTGACCTAGTCCTAAATGCAAGCTCACTTTCAAATGAACTGATTTTTTTACAAATTAAATACACTTTATCCTCTTCTCTTCTACCCTCTCTGCTCCATACTTTTTCTGCAGTTAACACAGAAGAATGTAGGAATGTGTTTGAGACTTTTGTCACTGAATTCTCCACCTGTTTCATGACATGCCAACATAAACACACAAGAATTCACAGACACACAGGCATTTACCCACTCCATACACACACCCATACAAAATAACTCAAATTATGTGATCCAGTGAAATTAAAGAAACAAGCAGATGGATTTCAGGATAAAACTGAAAGACCAAAGCAATCTTATAAAGAGCTGTTTAATGCCAGCTTTGCTAATGAATATTTATTGGATAAATGTTTGTAGTCTGCATACATGCAGAATTTGGTCTGTGCCTTGCTTACATTATAATCTAGTAGCAAGGCTGGGGAAATAGCAGACTCTTACTATCTCAAACTCTAAGGATAACTATTCTTACCTACCAAAAAATGCAACCTCAGATCATAAAGTGCCTAATTGTTTTGGTCAGTTTGCAGCAACTAAGAAATAATTATAGTTTCAGGAATAACTAGAATAGGAAGCCTACATAGATGACAGAAATGTAAGGGAACTTTGAAGAACTTCCATTGATGGAGGAATATAAGAGGTTAGTGTGATGTAAAGCAAGTATGGGTCTTTGTTTCATGTTTTTGTTGTTGTTGTTGTTTTGTTGTTGTTTTGTTTGTTTACGTAGAAAAAATATAACAAACAGAAAAGGAGTGAATCATGATTCAAGACAGTGTGGTGAGCCTATTAGCAAGGTCCCCTTAGAAATTAAGGGCTATATTCAAGAGAACAGTTAAATGGTTTAGCCTTGGAATAACTAATGAATAATTAATCCTCTCAGACTAGTATTAAGAATGAGGTGCCCCACTGACTAATCTATGGGAGTAAGTAATGGGAAGTTGTAAGGGACTGTGGAAGGGGAAGAAAAGAGTTTGGATCCTGAAGAAAATGTGAAGGTTTGGAAATTTTTGTTGAGACAATGAGATAGGAGATTTAGGATGAGAAGAAAGGGATTCATAATAGATTGAGGATCCAATGGACCAGGAAGACCGTAAATCTGTAATGAGTCCAAGTTGCATTGTCTTGCAAATTTTTCAGCAGTTTGTTTGTAAGAGGCAGGACATACTGTCACATAGACAAAGAATTCTGCAAGCCAGTTATGACATAAAAGAGTAAGGAAAATGAAAGTTCAGAGGGTCTTCATGAAGGAATAAATCAGGTGATTAACTACAAATTCTTTGCATTGGATAAAAACCTTTGATTGAATAACAGTATAAATAATTTCTGATCATGAAGTGCCCAGATAAAGAAGAATAGCTCTATCATCATCCTCCTCCTCCTCCTCCTCATCATCATCATCAAATAAAAAGGATGATTTGTACTGTGAAAAAAAAATAGTGAGCTGAGCATGAATCTGGTGGAAATATTGCTAATGTTATTCAGTACAAGTCAAAATGTGACCTTCTTTTCATTATTGACAGAGAAAAAACGTGATCTCTATTTTGAGAATAAACATGTGCAGAGATGCAATGGAGACGCCAGGTGCTCATAACAACCTCTTCTATTAAAGGAAAAGCATTTTTAGATATGTAGGGTACTACTAATTTCACTTCTTAGCTATTCTAAACCCAAAACAAATAAGGTAAGTCATTTGTCCCAACTGGCCCTATGGAATCTGAGAAGGCTTTAGGCTCATTGGAATTAAGGAGCCATATGGAACTTGTAGTGAGCTTATAACTGAGACAGATGGCAGCAGAATGGAGCCAGCCTTGGGGCTGTATAAACACCCCAGTGACCATGAACAGCCAATTAAGAATTGAGACGAGAGGGAAATGTCATTTCAACTCCTGTAAAATTTATCTGGTATATGCATCCTTGCTAACTTTCATATGTCTGCTTCATGGTCTACAGCTCTCAACTGGAGCCAGAGGAAATGTTTTCCTGACCTCCTCTTATAGAAAGCATCTGAATTCCTATCCAGTTCTCAGGATGTTGAGGATTCAAATTTCTGCTTCTACTTGTTGAAAGCCCAGCCGACTAGATTAGCTCTGGTGTTGTTCACAGCAAACTTGAGATAAAATATTCCTTTTTATCTCCTAGAATTAGTTTATAGCCCAAAGATTTGTTCGTCTTCAGGTTCTCAGGATTTACTTTCTACCACTCTATTTATGATGGTACAAAATGGAAGCCATGGTTCTTGTCTTCAAAGAGGTCTTGAAGGACACTGACAAGTAATCAAAAATCACAGCAGAAAAAAAAATGTGTATCCTAATAGAATTACAATATTCTGTGAGCACAGATGAGGGCTAGCTCTTCATCCAGACCAGTCAGGGTTGTCTTTCTGAAGGCAGATTTGTGGGTGTAGAATCTTGGAAGGATGCTTATGAATAACTGGAAAGATGATAGAGAAAGGCAATCATTTAACTTGATATATATGAAGTGCCAAGGCAAAGCAAGAGCATTACTTAATCAGGAACTGGTAGAAGATGTGTGGCTAGAACATGGAGCATGTGGCATAGAGTATGGTGGGATTGAGGATGAGAAAGTTTGTATGAAACAGACATGAAGGCTTCAAATGGCTATCTCAAGTATTTGACCTTCACAACTGTTAGTATAAAGATCAATTGAAAGAATTATATAAAAATAAAATAATCAGATATGAACCTATTTATATAATATACACACACTCTCTCTTTCTCTTTCTCTGCATATATTTTTCAGACAGATGTGGAAACATACAAGGGGATTAATGTTATGCAAGAAAGGATGGTGCAAGACTGTCTACAGGGAATACAACTGGGAATCTACTTCCATTCTCTGGGCTAGAAATGCTGAACCTGAACTTCTGTGTTTGAGAAAGGGATTGAGGCTGTGAGAAGGATGAGAATAATTTAAGAAAAAAAATTATAGCACTAATAAGTCTTGGTAGTGCACTGTATTCAGGTTGAGGAAGAGAATAATCCAGGATATCTGTGGGCTTTTGACTTGTAGGTATGCTCTTTACAAAAGTAAGTTTGGTAGACAAGAATAATAGCTCCCTTCAAAAAAAAATATGTGTTCTAATCTCAGGATTCTGTGAATATGTCCCATAACATGGAAAGGGAAATTGAAGGTTGTACATGGAATCAAGGTTGCTAATCAAATGACATGCAAAGAAGGAGTTTATCTTGGTAAGCCCAGGATAATCATTAGGTTCTTTCAAGTGGAAGAGTAAGACAGAAAAGTAAGTCAGAATCAAAGAGTACCTAAAGATGCTTCACTGGTGGAATCAATGTTCATGAATGAAGAACTACTTGTAACTTCTAGAACCTGAAAAAGTGAAGAACACAGATTTTTCCCCAGAACTTGAAGAAGGAATATAGTCCTGCCAACATGATTTTGACCCCTTTCAGAGTTCTAACTTCCAAAATGAAGACAATGAATTGTGATGTATTGTCATGGAATTTGTGATGAGTGATTAGAACATAAGGAGAAACAAACACAGTGGAAAATACAGATGGAAGAGCAAGTTGGGGGAAGATTGATGAGAATGGTTTTGACCAGGTTGACTTGAAGTTATGTTGGATAAGAAAAAAAAGGAGTCCAAAGAGAGCCCTGAGTTACTCATAGATCATTGAAATTGTGTGTTTGGATAAAATGATTCAATGGTAGCATGGAGAATGAGATCATCAAAAGGACACTAAGAATGAGTCTAGGAAGAAGAGACTGAGAGGAAGAACAAGAGGATTTGTGCAGAAGTATAGTATGAACACCAATGACAGCCTAATGACTGAGAAGCCAAAAAAGAAGTTAAAGAAAGTGGTTATTGGGACAAAATACCACAAAGTTCAACTAATAGAAGTAAGGGAAATATCCTTTGGATTCAAAAGTCTGATTGATTTCAGTGAAACAGTAGGAAGCAAAATCCAGATCAATACTGGTTGACCAGAAAATAGAAGTGACATTAACAAATGCCAAATGTGATCTCAAAAAACTTTACTCAATGACCTGGTCCTGTGGGAGTAAAGGCCAAGCAGTGCTATCCACCTGATCTTTCCCTGCCCAATCCTATATCCTTGATTCAAATTTGCTTTCCTAGAAAGAAAGAGCTCAGCATAAATGGCTGTATCCAAAAATATAAATAAATAAATTTTTGAAAATCAGAAGTAGAGCTATGATTTGCTAAAAGTTACCTGTTCAGTCAATGTTGAAAAGATTAATGGAACTACCACCGTTTGACCCAGCTATCCTTCTCTTCGGTCTATACCCAAAGGACTTAAAAAGAGCATATTACAGGGACATAGCCACATCATATTTATAGCAGCACAATTCATAATAGCTAAACTGTGGAACCAATTTAGATGCCCTTCAATAGATGAATGGATTTTAAAAAATGATGACATATATACACAATGGAATATTACTCAACAATAAAAGAGAATAATAAAATAAAATCATGGACAGGTGAGTCTCTCTCTGCTTCTTGATCAACATGTTGTGAGCTGCTTCCCTGTGCCACACACTCTGTCATGATGTTCATTCTCACCTCGAGCCCTGAGGAACAGAGCTGGCCTTCTGTGGACTAAGACTTCTGAAACCATGAGCCCTCAAATAAACTCTTCCTCCACTACTATTGTTCTGGTCAGATCATTTAGTCATAGCACAGAAAAAGCTGATTGAGACAGAACTGTTACCAAGACTGTTAGTATTTTATACAAAGTCGGAGTAAATAAACTCTGATGGTGATCTCTTATGTATTTCATTAATGAGTATTTACTCCTTACCTTTTTATATTTGCCTTCAGTTTCTGGACTCCATATGGTGAGTTGAACAGTCAAATAGATGTGATGTTATTATTGATCAGTAGGTGAGAAAAAATATTGTAGTAAACCATTGCCAGCACCCAAAACTTAGTTTTACCTATTGAGTTTCCCATTCTAATTTATATTATGAAATATTTCTTGGATATATTGTAAGAAAGGAAAATCACAGACTAATACTTCTCATGAATTTCCTTAACAAAACATTGACAAATTCAATCTAACAATGTTTAAAGCAAGTTGCACCAAGGCCAAGTAGAATTTATTCCAGGTATGTGAAGCTGTTTTAACACTTGAAAATCCATCAGTGTTAACCACCATATCAGCAGGGTAAAAGAAAACTCATATGATCAGATTAATTGATGAAGAAAAAGGCCCTTACTCTACCTAACTCATTGAGAATGAAAACATTCAGCAAACTATGGAAGGAGACATATTTCACAACCTAATGAAGAATATCCACAAAAAAAAAAAAAAATCCACAACTAACACCATAAGTAAAATGTGAGAAACTAAATGTTTTTCTCCTAAATTGAAAACAAGATAAGGCCCACCACTCTCACCTTTTCAAAATCATGTTGTTATATTGGGAACTCTCAACCTCTATATGTATGAGCAACAACTTATAGTAAATCTCTTCATTTTTGTCACTTACCTTGTCTCTTACTCAACATACATACACATACATACACACATTATATAATATATAATATATATCATATGCATATATTGTACATAATATATGTTATATATGTATACTGTATATACAAATGTGTAATGCCAATATTATATTGTATATATTATTACATTATAGATATAATATATACATGTGTGCTTATGTTTGTTAGTGTGTATTCATGGTTAAAAGATGTGAATTGTTAAAATTTTTTTGTGGCTTGATCTATGGATTTGATATAATCTCATTCAAAATTTCAACAAGATATTTTGTTGATATTGACAATATGATTCTCAAAAGACAAAAGTCCTAGGATGGTCAAGAGGATACTGAAGAAGAATAAAGTTGGAAGGCTCATACAAAATGATTTCAAGAATTACCATAAACCACAGTAATCAAGAAAGCAAAGTATTGATTAATGAACTGACTAAAAAGACCAAAAGATAAGTAAAACAAGATTGAAGAAACAGAAATAGATATACACAAATTTGTCTTCCCTTTGATTAAAAAAAAAAAAAGCAAAGACAGATCATTGGGAAAAGAATCTTTTTTAAAAAGACCAATTGAACATTCATGAACACACACACACAATCTAAGCATAAATTTTATACCTTTCACAAAACTTAATTGTAACAATATCACAGACTTCAATGTAAAAAGTTTAACTATGAAAATTTTAGAGCAAAACAGAATATAAATCTAGATGACTTTGTATTTGATAATATTTTTATAACAACACAAAAGCAGTAGAGATAAGGGTCTGGAGTTGTAGCTCAGTGGTAGAGAGCTTGCCTTGTATGTGTGAGGCACTGAATTCGGTTCCCAGCACCACAAAAAAATAAGCAAATAAAAATAGAGATCCATCAAAAACTAAAAAAAAAAAAAATATTTAAAAAAGCAGTATATATAAAATTAAAAGTTATATTTCATCAAAATTTTAAATACTATAACATCTGACAGAATTGCTTGCTGTATAAGAAGTAGCTATTAGTTTTTGTGTAAGTCACTCTCATGACTTTACAATTGGTGTTTATTTATTAGTAATTAGTGACAATGCACATCCATATAACATTTAACATGGTTGTCTCTTATATTTAAATTGGTTCTGTTAGTTGACCAGAACTAAACTATAACCTCATAATTATAACAATATAGTTTATTGGTAGCAGAGAATCTAGTACCCAGGCCTTCCAATATCATTGGAAACACTGACCAAGAATATTAGTCTTATTAAATTTTCCTATTCATATAACAAAATTAAACCACAATGATCAATGATATTAAATACTTGATCATACTATTGTTTCAAAGACATGCATAGTGTATATGTAGTCCCTACATAGTTTTGGAGGGATGTCAAAAGACTGATTAAGTTCCACAATAAAAAACAGAGCCTTCTAACCATTGCTTTGTATCATTTTGAACTGTAACATCAGTTAATGAATCTGGCTCTTTTACCTTCTAGCTGTGAGACCCTGAGCACTATTCAACTTTTTTGGACTAGTGGTTTTCATCAATAAATAGGTATAATGAAAGTGGCTATTACTCAATGGTATTGTGAGAACTAAATGCACTAGTACAAGATGCACAACAGTGCCTTGCTCCTTCTAAGAACTTGATCATGCTAACTATGACTTAATTGTCCCTGAAAATAATTTAGGAAATTTTGTTTAAGGAATGTGATTGAATCCACTGAGTCCAATAAATACTGAATTTATGTGGAATGCTGGCTGCAGCTGAACATATGCAACTTTTTGAAGATCAGCTCTTTTTCCTGTTGAGCAATTCATTAGTCACGGTTCTGTTCTTGTCAGAGTGCACATAGACTTGAAACCTTACCTTCCCTCTCTATGAAACTAATATCACACAAGTAGCTACTGAACAGTCATGTACAGATAACTGAAACTCTTGGAGGAGAAAAATCCTTATTCCCAAATTTTAGTCATGACTGATTATATTTGGCCAATTATTGCTTTTCTCTCTGTGCAATGAGAGTACAAACACTGTAGACCAACAAGTGAACTAAATGTGAACTCCTCCAAGAAGACGCTTTCATGGTAGTGATTAATGGGCTGCAAAGATTTTGAAATAAAAACCTGAAACCACATACTAGTCATACAGTTGGCTAAATATTTTGTTTGGGTGCTCACACCCAACCTAAAGATAACCTTGTGTTGACCCTGTATTCCAACCAGGAAGGAAAGCCTGGGGTTTTCAAGAGGGAGATTTGTGGTTTGGGTTTGGTCTGTCTATAAAAAGGGTTGTGGCACAAGGTCTTAACGAAGTTCATCTTCCAAGTCTCTGACCGACTGAGCACGAGGTTCTCACAGAAGCAAGTTGTGACAGCTGGAATTTGGCATCCCCAGACTCTCAGAACAGGCTGCTGATCCCAGACTGATAGTTTTAAAACCCTAAAACAAGTCTGTTACCATTCTTGAAATTCGTTTCAGCAGGCGCCAGGAAGGAATGCTACTGCTCTGTCAATGCTAGACAGGAGTCTCGTTCCAGCTTAACTCTGATGAACTGGGGTCTTGGCTCCTTCCTGATCCAGAAATTGTTTCCTTGTCCCTGGCAGGATGCTGGCAAAAGTGCATGCTTTGTTTAAACATATGGAATAAGTGGCAAGATCAGCAGAGGCCTTTAAGCAAATGTCAGAAGGCCATTGCCATATAAGGGAACTGAGCCACGTGTATTTAAGGAGAGGCAATTTGTGTGAATCTTGGGGTAGCAATTCTTTCAGCCTTTTAAACAACAACAACAACAAAACAACATTAAAAATCATTTTCAAGGGCTGGGATGTGGCTCACTGGTAGAATGCTTGCCTAGCATATGTGAGGCACTGGGCTTGATCCTCAGCACCACATATAAATAAAATAAAGGTATTTAAAA